AAAAAAAAAAAAAAAAAGAAAAAGAAAAAAAAAACAAGAAAGCCTAAGAGTTATGTGGGACACTGTCAAGAGGAATAACTTACGCGTAATTAGAATCCTAGAAGAGGAGGGGACAATAAAAAGCACAGAGAGAATTGTTGAAGATTTGCTGACAGAAAACTTCCCTAATATCATGAAAGGCAAGAAGATAACCATCCAAGAAAAACAACGAACCCTATACAGGATAGATACCAAAAGAAGAACACCTAGACGTATCACATTCAAACTTTCTAAAACCAAAGACAAAGAAAGAATCCTGACAGCAGCTTGGGAAAAATGAAAGATCACCTACAAAAGGGCATCAATAAGGCTAAGCTCTGATTACTCAGCAGAAAACATGCAGGCAAGAAGGCAATGGGATGACATATAAAACCTTGGAAGAAAAAAAACTGCCAACCAAGAATTATGTATCTAGCAAAATTATCCTTCAAAGACAATGGTGAAATTGACAAAAGCAAAGCAGAAGATGTAAATAACCCAAATAAGGAATGAGACGGGTGACATTACAACAGAACCTTCTGAAATAAAAAGGATCATGACAGAATACTATGAAAAACTGTACTCCAAAAAATTTGAAAACCTAGAGGAAATGTACAAATTTCTAGAAACACTACCTACCTAAACTAACACAAATGAAGGTTGAAAATTTGAATAGACTCATAAAAAAACAAGAAATTAAAGGGGTCATAAAAAAAATCCCAACCAAAAAAAGCCCTGGCCCAGACAGCTTCATTATAGAATTCCACCAAACATTCAGAAGAGTTGGCATCAATTCTACTCAAACTATTAGAACACAGAAAAGGAAAGAATACTCTCAAATTCATTCTATGAAGCTAGCATAACCCTGATACCAAAGCCAGGCAAAGATACCACTAAAAAAGAAAACTACAGGCCAATATCCCTCATGAATATAGATGTAAAAATTCTCAACAAAATCCTAGCCAACAGAATTCAACAGCATATCAAAAAAGTAATACATCACAACCAAGTGGGGTTCATACCAGGCCTGCAAGGATGGTTCAACATTAGAAAATCAATCAATGAAATACACCACATAAATAAATCAAAGGAAAAGAATCACATGATCATCTCAATTGATGTAGGAAAGGCACTTGATAAAAGTCAAACACCCATTCCTGATAAAAACTCTCAGCAAAATAGGAATAGAAGGGAAACTCCTCAGCATAATAAAGGGCATTTATACAAAACCAACAACCAACATTATCCTCAATAGAGCGAGTCTGAAAGCATTCCCCTTGAAAACAGGAACCAGACAAGTATGCCCTTTATCATCACTCTTATTCAACATTGTATTGGAAGTCCTACCTAGAGCAATAAGGCAAGAAAAGGAACTAAAGGGCATCCAGATTGGTAAGGAAGAAGTAAAACTATCCCTATTCACAGATGATGTGATCCTACATGCCTGTGAACTGTGGTGTTGGAGAAGAATATTGAATATACCATGGACTGCCAAAAGAATGAACAAATCTGTTTTGGAAGAAGTATGACCAGAATGCTCCTTAGAAGCAAGAATGGTGAGACTTTGTCTCACATACTTTGGACATGTTATAAGGAGGGATCAGTCCCTGAAGAAGGACATCATGCTTGGTAGACGGTCAGCAAAAAAGAGGAAGACCCTCAAGGAGATGGACTGACACAGTGGCTGCAATAATGGGCTCAAGCATAA